TTGAAATGCTCCATCATCTGATTGTTTACCCGAGCCTGTATTCTACAACCCTAGAAGTTTATACGATAACATTAGAACAACAAAAGAACAAATTAGTGTATGTTAAAACAATAAGCATAACCAATAATAAATATCACAAATACCATTATAGGTTAATGAAATTTACCCTTTCATCGACCAGAATGAAATTTAGACTTCGATTATCGTCCGAGTAATCCACCACCCATTTTTTGAGTATCTTCACTATAATTCTCCAGTCAGATCTTTGAGAGTCCAATTCTCATTGTTACCAATTCTTAAAATTGTTTACTATAACAACATCTATATATTTTAAATGACAATTTTATTGTAAAGAAAATTTACATTAGCTAAATCATAAACATGTACATATATATTTTAAAGATGGTGACTTGTTATCGTGTTCAAGAACGCGTAAATTCAACCAAGTAATTATTTCTTCAGTGAACAAACAAAAACAACTGTTTCTAGATTCTTATTTGTTCTTTCATAGATGCTACAAAATCATATTATTTATAAAACATAGTGTTTAGTAGAACATGATAAAATCAATAACCAAAAACCAAAAAAAAAACGATAACAAAAATAATAATAAAAATATAAATTATAGCTAGTACATATCTAAAAAAAAGAACTGTTTCCATGCACTTCGTTTCGTATCTTCACATAAGTCCTGTAATTAATATTTAAGAATATATGTAAACAATATAGTACTACAAAAAAGCTATATTAAGGGAGTAGCGTTAATGTCATAATAATTATCTTACTTTGCCCGAAATTCAGAAACTTCATCCATTCCAGGAGCAGTCATAAAACGCGAAAGACCTTCTTCTTTGTGATTTTGGATAGTAATTTCTTCTAATAAAAAAGCATGATATCTAAAAATTCAAATTGTTTAGAGTTATATCAAATTAAAAGGTATACCTCCAGTTCTCGTAACACACCAATCGATTAAAACACAGACGTCAAATGGACCATCATATCCTATGCATTGTTCGTTTATGTCAGATGCTAATGAGCCATGTGCAATACATTCCAATGTATTATCCCTTCAAATTACATAATAGAGTTATTGTAAAACTAAATTATCATAACAATAAGCAATAGAAAATAATAAGAATGCGCTTACTCATTGTTTTTAAGACGAAAACGAAATGTGAGGACAATTTTTCCATCTGTCTGCACAACTGGTATGAGATCTCTTACAATGTCAAGTACACCAATCAAATCCGAATAAACACACATATCAATAAAACTACAGCGAATTTTTAAAAAAAGAACAAAAAAAAAACAAAAAAAAAATATATGATTATACTAACCAATAGGATACTCATGAGCGAAAGGATTATTGATAATCTGTGAAAATTGTACGAAACTGAGGAATGCCTTATTAGATATTGGTATTATACGTGAGACCTTTGTGTCGTCAGTCAGAGTAATCATAAAATCGTGTCTAGTTATCTTATCGCAATCATTACTGAGCAATCGGTTGAGACTAAACCGAGATAACATAATCCAGTGACCTTCATGGCAAACTCGTTCGAAATACTCGAACATCTGATTGTGAACAATTGCCTGAATTCGGCATCCCTACAATATAAGAAGAAATATAGAAATTATAGAAACAATAAAGAAATATACAGAATCAGAGATTTAATACTAAAGAGTTTAGTTTATAATAAAACTAACGTTCTCATCGGGCATAATGAAGCCAAAACCTGGTAATCCCTGTGGATCGTTCACGCTCCACTTTTTCAAAACTTTAACTACCCATGTTTGTCAGATGTTTAGAGAGAATAAAATATCAGAAAGTAGTTATGTTCTGTTGCATCGAGTCTTTATCAGATCATCTATATATGCACGTTAAGTTTTTTAAAATATTATTATGCATAATGATGACGATTCATTAGAAATCGTTTACTTGAACCGAGTCATTTAAAACGATTTCCATTATCCGTTATATATATATATATACATATATATTAAATATAAATACAATATGATCACGACCACTAAAAAATAAATTATCTATAACTTTATAATTTTTAAAAAATATAACAAAACACAATCTATATATGTATATCTTCTTTCTATATGATTTAAAAGTTTGTTTTAATTCGAAGACAAAACATATGTGTATATTAATGTTTTCATACCGATAAATCATTATTAAATTAAGGAATTCATGATTGTATTATTATTTTTTATTATTATTTCGATATCCGAATATAAGTTGGTTATTAAGGTAGCTAAAAATGTATATATACTGGACCCATTAATCAATCATGATTTAATATTATTGATATAGGTATACCAGATATTATTAAGCAAATAAACATCTAAACATTAAACGAATCCAAATCTCTACAAAAATATTACTGATTTCGATTTTCATGAAAAACCATCAAGACTAAACACGATTGGGTCCATATCGTAGAATATCTTTACTATCACGATCATTAAAGTTTTTTATGAGGTCTTGGAAAAGACAATTATAGTTAGAATTCTATTGAAAATTTATGACGACAGTCAGTACGTTTTCCTGTGACAAATAGTCGAAGTATATATATATATTTCCTAATATGTTTACCTTAGTCAAGTATCCTGATCTAAAGTATGTTAATTTTAGGCAATTACTCTGACTATACCAAAAATAATGTAAATATTTTCCATAACAGAAGCCACATAAATCTTATAAAGAGGACATAGCCTGACATCGAACCTAACAATATGAGCTATATAAAACACATATAATTCATAAAATATAGTTTGATAATACATCACAAAATTAATATATAAACAATAAGAAAGTATTAAACAAAAGCATTGATCTTAGTTTTAAAAGCAGGCATAAAATTACTAAGTAATAAGTTCGAGAACACAAAGAAGAAACAGTGTAAATAGAGAGGCAGAATAGAGAAAGTCTACAAATAA